GTGTGACGAGATTAGGACAGTGGTTCACAAACTACAGTCTGTAGACCAAATCCAGCTCCATTTGACCTCTGGCTTGGGTGAGACAGAATATTTTTCTATTTTTAAGGGTTATAAAAACAGAAGAATGTCATGCAAACCACATGTATCCTACAAAGCCTAAAATATTTTCTTTCTGGTCCTTTACAATGTTTCTTGACCCCTGGGTCAGGATTTAGCCAACTATCATTATCTTACAGAAACTCTATAATAATTTTTAAGGGGCTTCAGAAAGAAGTTTTTATGACCAAATTCACAGGTGACTTTGGACTTGAATTTTAGGTCTACTTTTTGCACTTCACAAACTGTCATTCTCCATTAGGATGTCTTTACATAGTCCTCTAACAAGCATTGTATAATTAGAAGAATCTTTGTGGAATGATAATGTTTTAACATAAATGTGCCATTTTGGTGGCAGCTGTTAACTACAGTCAAAATATATCATTGTGTATATCACAACATTCGCAATTAAAGTATTTCACCACTTAATTGTGTTTATAGTAGTAAACTTGCAATGTGTGTTTCAAAGCAGTGAATACATGTTACCAAAAGGCAAGTGGATAAAGCAGTTCTTTTTTACTTGCTGTCAATGCTGTAGTTACTTAATACATATGCTAATTCTCCATGATTTTGTGTTTGCTTGAATAGCAGTTATATTAGCAGATAGTATCTTGTCTGACAGCAGAGTGATGTCTCACTTTGGCAGGCTGGGTGTGAGGGGGAAGTTTTGTTTGTTTAAATGTGTGTATATTTGTTGTTTTCCTAAGCCTTAGAACTGAGAGACTTTCTTGACCATCTTTCCCTCTTCAGACTGGGTCATGTTTAACCCATGTAAACATCAAAATACCCTCAGTTTGAACTTTCCAGATAAGAGTTCCTACAGTTCCCTAGGTAACTCATTTCAGCTTTTCTTAACTAACTGGCAGCAAAGTGTTCTAGGTGAAGAAAAAATTTTTTATAAAGATAACATTTTCCTCTGTAATTAACTAGACAAATCAGCAGTTGTTGTTTAAAGTGCTTACTGTGTGTCAGACAAGAAAAGGGAAAGAAGGACATGCTAGTAGAGAAGAGCCTGAGCAGAGGGTCTTTGGAGAAGTTGGGGAAGCTTGGGGCCAATTTAAAGAACAGCAGATATTCTGGTTTGAATGTTAACTATGATGTAGTCTTGAAAGTTTGTGGCTTGGAAATTCTTCTTTAATCTGTTGGGACAATATGTAGTCTATTTTTTTGCTTCGGGATAGTCAGTAGTAAATTACTGCTTTGTAGATTTAAACATTTCATGCACAGATGGGCATAATAAAGGACAGAAATGGTATGGACCTAACAGAAGTAGAAGAGATGGCAGGAACACACAGAAGAACTATACAAAAAAAGGTCTCAATGACCAGGATAACCATGATGGTGTGGTGACTCATCTAAAGTCAGACATCCCGAATGTGAAGTCAAGTGTGCCTTAGTAGTATTACTACGAACAAAGCTAGTGGAGGTGATGAAATTCCGACTGAGCTATTTCAGATCCTAAAAGATGATGCTGTGTAAGTGCTGCACTCACTGGGTCAGTGAATTTGGAAAACAGAGGCCGCAGAACTGGGAAAGGTCAGTTTTCATTCCAATCCTAAAGAAGGGCAATGCCAAAGAATATTCAAACTACCACAAAGTTGCACGCATTTCACATGATAACAAGATAATGCTCAAAATCCTTTAAGCTAGGCTTCAGCTGTTCATAAACCAAGAACTTCTAGATGTACAAGCTGGATTTAGAAAAGGCAGAGGAACAAGAGATCAAATTGCCAACATTCGCTGGATCATATAAAAAGCGAAAGAACTCCAGAAAAACACCTCCTTCAGCTTCATTGACTGTGCTAAAAAGCCTTAGACTGTGTGGATCACAACAAACTTTGAAAAATTCTTAAAGAAATGGGAATACCGCACCACCTTACCTGCCTACCGAGAAACCTGTGTGCAGGTCAAGAAACAACACTTAGAATTGGGCATAGAATAACAGACTGGTTCCAAATCAGGAAAGGAGTATGTCAGGGCTGTATATTGTCACCCTGCTTATTTAACCTTTGTGCAGAGTACATCATATGAAATGCCTGGCTGGATAAAGCAAAGCTGGAATCAAGACTGCTGGGAGAAATGCCAATAACCCCAGATATGCAGATGACACCACCTTTATGACAGAAAGCAAAGAGGAGTTAAAGAGCCTTTTGATGAAAGTGAAAGAGGAGAGTGAAGAAGCTGACTTAAAACTCAGCATTCAAAAAACTAAGATCATAGCACCCAGTCCCATCAATTCATGGCAAATAGATGGGGAAACAATGGAAACAGTGACAAACTTTATTTTCTTGGGCTCCAAAATCACTGTGGATGGTGACTGTAGCCTTGAAATTAAAAGAAGCTTGCTCCTTGGAAGAAAAAGCCATGACCAACCTAGACAGCATATTAAAAAGCAGAGACATTACTTTGATGACAAATGTCCGTATAGTCAAAGCTGTGGTTTTCTCAGTAGTCATGTATGAATGTGAGAGTTGGATCATGTAGAAAGCTGAGTGCTCTAGAATTGATGCTATCGAATTGTGGTATTGGAGAAGACTCTTGAGAGTCCCTTGGACTGCACGGAGATCAAACCAGTCAATCCTAAAGGAAATCAACTGTGAATATTCATTGGAAGGACTGAAGCTGAAGCTCCAATATGTTGGCCATCTGATTCAAAGAGCTGACTCGTTAGAAAAGACCCTGATGCTGGGAAAGGTTGATGGCAGGAGAAGGGGAAAACAGAGGATCAGATGATTGTGAGAGAGTAACAGGCAGGAAGGCCAGGGGTCTCCAAACTGAGAAAATAGGCTGCAAGTATCTCTTAAAATTCTGTGTTGCTGTGACGACACCTGGTTCTACCTGAACTGAACTTTTCTCAAACCTTGAGCTAACCAATGCATTTTTCTTATGGAAATATTTTTCTTAAGCTATGCTAATGAAATTATGTATTTGCTTTGGAATTTGCCTTTCTTCAAAATGGTTCCACGTAAGACTAGCTTTTGACTGCTAATGGCTCAACAAACTAGTATTCATATCAGTTGTTTTATGGCTGGGGGATGACATAACCTCATGCCATCCTATTTCAAAAATGCATATTGTGGGAGAGGGGCCTGGTGAAACTCCATCAGCCTTGACGTGTCTCTTATCTGATTAATAACTTTCTAACAGACATAAAATAGCTTACTAAAACTAGCAGGGGAGGCACTCTCCGTCCCCCTTCTGATGTCTATGTCAGAAGCTTTCTCTGTCCCTTTTTTACTTGAATAAAACTCTGCTATACAAAAGCTCTTGAGTGATCAAGAGTGATCAAACCTGGTCCCTGTTCCCGAAGTTAAATCTTCTTCAGAGATCACAAATCTGACACCATTCACCATAAGCTATCAATTGGATGGCATCACCGACTCAGTGGACATGAGTTTGAGCAAGCTCTGGGAGATGGCAAAGGACAGGGAAGCCTGGTGTACGCAGTCCATGGGTTCTCAAAGAGTCAGACATGATTGAGCGACCGAACAGCAACAAAGGGCTGAATGTCCTCAGTGAAAGCCTTAGGAAGAGCTTCAAGTCTTTTATCACTCTTATTCAATAAGTATTTTCATTTTGGCTTTTTTGTTTGTTTTTGGTTTTTACAGTGTTGTGTTGGTTTCTGCCATATAGCCACAGGAATCAGCCATAATCATATATATATCCCCTCTCTCTTGAGCCTTCCTCCCTTCCCCCTGCCACCCCTATAGGTCATTACAGAGTGCCAGAATGGGCTCCCTGTGTTATATACAGCTGCTTCTCACCAGCTATCCATTTTACACATAGTAGTGTATATATGTTGATGTTACTTTCTCTCGTTAGTTCCATCCTCTCCCTCCCCAAACTGTGTCCACAAGTCTGTGTTTCCATTCCTTCCCTTCAGTTTCTTCATATATGCATCCTATAGCTTCTATGTATTTTCAGAATCCAGTGCTGTCATTTACTTGGGTGCAAGTTCTATTCAGAATGTATTTGGCTGTACTTAAGCAGGAACATAAAATAAAAAATGCTGTACTTGGCAGTGTTGTGAAAATAGAATACCTATTCTTTGTATGTATTCTTGAGGATTTTAATATTGTGACAGTTTTACCATAGTATTTTTAAAAGTATCTATTGTGGAACATCATTTCTTGCTAGTTGTCATGGAAATCATGGAAATTTCTTTTCATGACAGTTAACAACTGTATTTCAGTTATTATTTCCAAATAGCATGGACAGGATGATGGCTGAGCATGTAACATGTATTTCATCCTTTTCAAATTCTTGCTCACAAATTGCCTCTTCCCATCAGTATTCTTTCTTTTTTTTGTTGCCTATAAACTTTGCCTTCCCTTGTTTAATTTTTATAAATTTTAAGAATTCTTTTTTATTTTTGATTGTAGTGGGTCTTCATTGCTGTGCATAGGTTTTCTCCAGTTGCAGAGAGTAGGGGCTGCTTTCTATCTGTGGTGCATGGGCTTTGTGGTACAGTGACATTTCCTGTTGCAGAACGCAGGCTGTAGAGTGTGTGGGCTCAGTAGTTGTGGTGCCCAAGCTTAGCTCTTCCACGGCGTGCTGAATCTTCTCGGACCAAGGATTGAACTCACGACCAGGGATCTGCCTCGTGTCCCCTGCATTGTCAGGTGGATTCTTATCCACCATATCACCAGGGTGAATCACTTTTGGGTTGTATAACAATCACTTTATTTTTATACTTTTTATTCAGAATACTGTATAATATTGAATAATGTAGCCTTCTGTTAAACTCACTAAAAATAACTTGTTAAAGTTATGTAAGAAAAAGACCTATTGAGGAGTGGTTATCTTATTTGGGAATTTGCCTATTAACAAGAGTTTAATATCTTGTTTCCTTCTAAAATTTTCAAATAATACTTACCTTTTTAAAACTTCTTTTTCCTTTTTAGACTTTTGAAGATTTTAAAAATGATAAGCAAGCTGTAGAATATCAACAACGTATTGTGGATATTTTGTTGAAGGTGAGTATCCCTAGAATGTCTTTGTATTGGTATTTATATTTATAAAAATGAATTACTTTATAGCAAGTTCTAAAATAATCTTGTTTAATAAAGGAATATGTTACAATCATTTAAAAGTTTTATTATGATGTCTTTGTCTTCAAAAGCTAAAGTCCTAATCATTCATTCAAAAAATATAATGTATCTCAGCTTTAGACTGGATGTTGAATAGAGTGCTACTCTTGAGAAATGCATATTGTTATAATTGCTATGTTAGTATGATTACATTTAGTAATGGAGACTAACTTCAGAATGCTTTGAGAAAATAATGTTCTGAAGCGTCGCCTGTCATACTAGCATCACTGTGTTGCTAAGGTAGTGCCATATGTGGTTTTGCCATGGTACTGAGATGATGGGTAACTTAGGAAAGATTTGAGGCACGCAGAGATGATCATCCCAATCTAAGTCCATCTGGATTCAATTGGAAACTATTTTGAGATTCATGCTGTTGCTAGTGAGTGATTGTGGAGACAGATTCTTTTCCTGTCCATCTGCACAGCTTCACCCAGGCCAGTTTCTTCTTGTAGTTAAAAGCTTAGAGTTTTTAATCCTGTTTATTTGGCTATAAAATGGTAGTTTCTTCCTCCTAGTGACTTTTAGATTATTTTGGAAAAGAGACCAAAATTGAAATATTTTCTTTGTGTATAATATTAATTCATTAATTACATTTATAGCAGTTCTTTATAATTTTCAAAGCTCATTTGTATATATGATCTCATTTGAGCTATTTATTAGCCTTATAAAATAGGCAGTGATGAATATGAGAGCTCCCAAATAATATCAGTTTGATCTTGGTGGCTAGTATGGAGAATTTTCACTTAGGTTTCAAAATACCTTCCAGAATGGTCTTATCTTGTCCTTCTTCAATTTGTGATCTTACCTTTCTTCTAGGTAATATTGTTCTCTGGCTTCTCATTGGTGCAGTTGAAACTAAATTCTTCCGTGAGAGACAGTTCAAAATAATAATAGTTTGTTGTGGAAATTTAATTTTCTCCTATAAGTCTGGAGTGTAGGCAGCCTGGTCTAGTAGAGTGGGTTCACAAACTTGTCAGGGATGCACAACACTTCCATCTTACTGCTGCTGTTCTTAGTACATGGTTTGTGTCTTTCAGCCCAAAATGACTGGTCAGGCTCCAGTATTACCTCTGCATTCTAACCAGCCTGAATGCAGAAAGAGATGAGGTAGAAAATGTTCTCTTTCTTTCAGAAAATTTCTTAGAAGTTATGCACCGCAATTCTGCTTATATCATGTTGATCAGCACTTAGCTAGAGAGACTGTGAAGTGTACTCTGTATGGTGGGTGGCCACGTGTTTAGCTAAAAATGAGGAGTTCTGTTTCTAAATTAGATGGAAGGAACAGATGTTGGAGCACAAGTAGTAGTTTTTGCCATACCCATCTAAGTTTTAACATGATATCCAAGATCCTTTTATACTTTCCGGCCCCTTACTACATCTCCATAACTGCTCCTCTCTCTGACCTCCCCTCTCACCCCACCAGTCTGTGTTATCAACTCCTCAACAGTTTTTTTTAGCCATGCTGAGCAGTTTGTGGTTCTCAGTTCTTCCACCAGGGATTGAACCCGGGCCATAGCAGTGAAAGCCTGGAATCCTAACCTCTCGGCTACCAGGGAACTCCCTCCTCACCAATTTTATATTGTTGGAATTCAGTGAACTCGCTGTGTCATCTTTTTTGGCTTATGCTCTTTGTGTGAGTTTTCTTTTATCCCATCATGTGTTTTCCTTCGCTTTCTTTGCCTGGCAAATTCCTAGCCATTCTCCAAGACATAACTCAAAATATCATCCATGAGAAGCTCTTCGGAACCTTCTCTCGCACTTCCAGTTTGATTTGTCGCCTTTTCTGTGGGATCGTGTTACACTTCATGCTGCACGTGACACACTGTATGGTACTTGTTTACTTGTGTCTTTTCCTGCCTGGGATGAGCTTCCTGTAGGTAGAGACTGTCAGGGGGTGTTTTTTTATCATTATTTTAACACGTCTAGCACGATGCCTACAATCTGGTAGGTGTTCAAGAAATGTTTGCAAGTTGATTGAATTAGGATTTAAGTTTTAAAACTACTAATTTGGAAAAATCATCCAAGTAAAGGAAATAAAACTCCATAAAGTACTTAAACTGTTACTTTTGGTGAATTATTGCATTTGTATATTGTTTTTTTAATTGAAGTATAGTTAATTTATAGTATTGTGTTAGTTTAGGTATGGATCAAAGTGATTCAGATATATTATATATATATATTTTCAGATTATTTTCCATGATAGGTTATCACAAGATACTGAATATAATTCTCTGTGCTATACAGCAAATTATTATTGCCTATCTGTTTCATTATAGTAATTTGGTTTTTCTAAACTTTTTATTTTATATTGGACGATAGCCAATTAGAGTGCTGTGATAGTGTCAGGTGAACTGCAGAGGAACTCAGCCATACATATACATGTATCCATTCTCCCCCAAACTCCCCTCCTGTCCATGCTGCCAGGTAACATTGAGCAGAGTTCCCTGTGCTTATGTATAATGATTTGTATCTGTTAATCTTGTACTCCTATTGACCCCTGCCTCTTCCTTTTCCCTACTAGTAACCATAAGTTTGTTTTCTGTATCTGTGAAACTCTTTCTACTATGTATGTAGATTCATTTGTATTATTTATTAAATTCCACATGTAAGTGATACCATATGATGTTTGTCTTTGTCTTTCTGAATTACTTCACTAAAGTATAATATTCTCTAGGTCCATCCATGTTGCTGCAAATGGCATTATTTCATTCTTTTATTTATTTATTTTTGGTTGTGCTGGGTCTTCGTTGCTGCACCGACTGTTCCCTAGTTGTGGCAAGCAGGAGCTACTCTCTAGCTGTGGCTGCGTGGGCTTCTCTTTGCAGTAGCTTCTCTTGTTGTAGAGCATGGTCTCTAGGGAGCACAGCTTCAGTAGTTGTGGCTGCCAGACTCTAGAGCACAGGCTCAGTAGTTGTGACACATGGACTTAATTGTTTGACAGCATGTGGGATCCTCCTAGAGCAGGGATTTGACCCATGTCTCCTGCTTTTGGCAGGCAGACTCTTTATCACTGAGCCACCAGGGAAGCGCTACTTCATTCTTTTTTATGGCTTAGTAATATTCCATTGTGTGTGTATATATATATATATACACATTGTGTGTGTGTGTGTATATATACATTGTGTGTGTGTGTGTGTATATATACATTGTGTATATATATATATATAAACCACATATTCTAAAGCCATTTGTCTCTTGATGGACACTTAGGTTTCTTCCATGTCATGGCTACTGTAAATAGTGCTGCTATGAACATTGGGGTGCATGTATCTTTTTGAACTAAGAGTTTTCATCTATACAGGCTTCCCTGGTGGCTCAGATGGTAAAGTATCTGCTTGCAATGCAGGAGACCCATGTTTGATCCCTGGGTCGGAAAGATCCCCTGGAGAAGGAGATAGCAACCCAATCTAGTATTCTTGCCTGGAGAATTCCACGGACAGAGGAGCTTGGTGGGCTTCAGTCCATGGGATCGCAAAGAGTTGGACACGACCAAGCAATTAACACTTTCATCTTTTTGGGATATATGTCCATGGGTAGAACTGCTGGATCATATGGTAGCTCTATTTTCAGTTTTTTAAAGGAACCTCCATACTGTTTTACATGGTGGCTGCATCTTGTATATTATTTTGATAGTAGTTAACCTAGGGTCGTGAAGAATGACCCTATCTCAGATGATAAGTTTGAGATTATTTTCTCATTTCTGGTGATAGAGTTGTAGTCATTTTCTGAGGGAGCACAGGAAAGGACCAGAAAACAGGGGAGAGAGCATCAAACCTCAGGCATTATCATGGGTGCTGAATGGCTGCAGACATAGAGCAGAAAAGCTGTAAATTTGTGACTTTGTATAAGATTGTCCAGAAAATTTTGTCAGCATGGTCTCTGAAATTGATCAGAGAGAAGAAATGGAAAGAAGCTAAAATTTCTGGGATAATACCTAGTTGGACACTTGCTGAAGTGGCGAGGGAATGGGGCTGTGAGTTAGAACTGTTTCCTTAGAAGACATTTTTAGGATCAGACAGGTGAGAGAGTAGTTTATACTTGTAGAGCAACAGGAAGAGCTAAAAGCAGAGAAGAGCACTAATTGGGCCCTGAGAGTTGAGTCCTAGGAAAGGGCCCACACACGGAAAAGAAATGATGATTGGCTATTTTAAAGCTATAGAAAGCTCTTTTAATATTATAAATTGGAATTTAGATACACAGATTACAACTTGAAACATCCTCATATTCTAGTAATGATAATTATGTACTTGAACAAGCTTTGATTGCTGGACTAAGTAAAAGATGGGCAGTAAAAGACAGGCGCAAACTGCTTAGCAAAGTGAGAAAAGGCAGGCCAAAAATGGTGCCCCAAGGGAATGTTTTATCTTTGAAGGGAAAATGAAAGGACTTTGTAGATGAGATGGGCTGCTGTTCCCTAATTTGTTGTAGAATTGCCTCCTTAAATTCAGTTAGTTTAAAACAATGCCTGGTCTTCCTTCTCAGACTTCTGCCATCTCCCTGTTTGTTAATAGCATTGTTCTCCTCCCTGCCTGTCAGGCTCAAGACCTGTCATTTTTCATTCTTCCTTTAGCCACACGTTGCCACACATGTGAATACCTGCCTGTCTCGTCTCTCTCTGCAGTGACTTTTGCACCTGTTTCTCCTTCCCTGTTCATCATCACTGCATTGTTCTGAACTCCGCTGACTCTCCCTTGGACCTCTGCAGTCCCATGCATCTTGGTCTCTCTACCTTCATTTCTTGCTTCTGTTACTTTATCCTAAGCACTGCTGTTGGGGTAATTTTCCTAAGCATAGTGCTGATCACAGTCAGCTCTCCTCATTGCACCTTTAGTAACTCCTCCATTTTCTAACAAATAAATTCTGGATTCCTTAGAAGGGCATTGGAGCCCTAAGTTTTTCCTTTGGTCTGATTTTTCCCTCCTCTTCATGGATACTGCTGCATTCTAATGAAGCATGGCATTTCTCCAAACAAACTTATATTTTCTTGTTTTCATGTTTTTGCCCCCACTCTTCTCTCTGCCTGGACTGCTCTTTCTCCTGACATTTCTTCTCCTGTCATGGATTACACATGGGCTTTAAAGTTTAGTTTAGAGGCTACTTTTCTCATTTTTTTGTTTCAAATTTTTTCTCTGATCAGTTGGACTAAATTTTCCCCACTGTGCTTCCATAGTCATTTGTTCCTTTATAAGTGCTGATCACATTATGTTTTTTATTTAAGATTTGTTTACCTGTCTCACCTTTCTTTCTGGTTCACAGTTCCCTTGAAGGCTTCTACCATAAGCATCTTAGGCGAAGTAATAGGTACTCAAGAGATGAGCGCTCACTTAAATCAGAGGAGAGATGATGACTTGATAACTGTGTGTGGTTGTAAAGAGCGTGTTATTTGAAACCGTCTGTTCACTAAACTGCTTATAGACAAGGCAGAAGCCATTCACTTCATTGACTCACAGGCTGGCTAACTTCTTTTCTGGGATACCTTCACTCTCAAGTTGTCTTACCTTGAAACCTGAAAGCAGCTTCCTTCTTCCTGTGTTGGTGGACAGATTTTTCATAGAGTTACTTTAATTTTAGATTCTCTTTTAAGAATTCAAGAAGGAAACATGATTAATTTCTTTCTTTTTTTTTTTTTTTTGAAATCTCTGACGATTCAGTTCTTATCCAACTTGTGCTTATAAATATGCCAGAAATCACTAAAATGCTTTCAGGGAGTGCAGGTAGTTGTGCTTCTGCTCTGAATGGTGTTGAACTCAATTGTCACACAGCTGATAAAAGAATCTTTTTATGACTCCTTCGTACTGAGGCTTCCCACCCCCACCTCTAATTGTATATTTTTCTTTGTCAAACCAGATGGTATATTGAATAAGTGGTCTCTTTTGCTCATAGGTTATGGTAGAGAATTCAGATTTTACGCCCTCACAAGTAGGGTGTCTCTTTACCTTCCTTGCCCGGCAGCTTGCAAAGCCTGACAACACCTTATTTGTAAACAGAACCCTTTTTGATCAGGTGAGTGTCTTTAATCATAACAAGTAGAATTGTTTTTCTTTACTATTTGTAGAAAAATTCACTGGATTACATATAATAGAATAACCTACCAGGTAAGTGTCCTCCGAGGTAGAGGCTTGTTCATCTTTCAGTTTGGATCTAAATTAGATTTTGTTTTTTAGTGTTGTGTTTGGGTAGTGTGACTGTTCAGTAACTTGGTGTCATGGGAGTATGATTTGTGGAGATTGGTTTATAGAGATTGTTTTCCCAATTATTCTGTTCTAAATTTGCCTAGAACTTTTAACTTAAGAATTTTTCAATTTAATAATTACCCATCTCATTGGTAGTAAGACTATGATGTTGATCATCTGGAAGAGAGATTACTTTTAGAAAATCTGAATTTACTTACTTACCACTCTGAAGATATTTCCAAACCCCAGTTAAATATCTTCTACAAAGCCATAGGTGGCAAAGAAAATACTTTTTACCCTGGAGAAAGTTGCTAATAATGACCAGCATTTATTGAGCACTTCATAGTGCCATGCTCTGCTTCAAAGTTTTACATGTATGTATTAACTCAGTACTCCCCGTACCTCTGAACTTAGTATAGTTGTTACTCCTGTTTTGCAGATGAAGAAGCTAAAGCCTGGAGAGGCTAAGTCACTCATCCAAGTCATTTAATAAGTGTTATTACCAGCGATAAAGGTTATTATTAAGTGTTAATAAGGTTAGGACATAAATTCAAGTGGCCTGATTCTAAAGTCCATACTTAGCTTGCTCCATGGTGTTGCAGATCTTAAGGTATATATATGATGTCAGATTCTAGTCATGTTTCTAAATAGTAAAGAACTGTGTTTAAGGTATATATTAAATTGTTAGCATAACTGAGCCTGCTGTGTCATATATTGGGCCAGCCAGCTGGGAAGATACCATATCCCTATGGTGTTTGTTGAGCTGGATGTGAATGAGTTGGTGATACAGAAAGAGTGATTATGGTTTTCCTTATGGCATGCATGCTGGTATCCAATTTAAAAATACCTTTTCTTTGACCAGGTCCTTGAATTCCTTTGTAGTCCTGATGATGACTCCCGACACTCTGAAAGACAGCAGGTATGAACTGCTAGAACTCATCTTCCTAAACAATGGGAAAGACGACAGAGTAAACCAGAAAGAGCCTTCTGTACTAGACCTGACAAGGTGTGAGGGTAGAAGGACCTGTGTTTAACCCTAGTACTCTGTGAGATAGTGGCAACCGGGAAGTAGTGTGGATGGTTGTAGTTTGAGCCTCACAAACTATTAATAAATTTTTAGGCAGACTGCACCTGTCTTGCATTCAGTGTGATATCAATAGAGAATATAAATTTTATCCTTCTCCTTTATGAGCAATAATTTGGCACCTATTATATGCTCCTTTCTGTCATCATGATTAAGTTAGTAACCATACGTAGTTGCTATGGTCATGAACCAGAAACACTTCAAGATCTTGAGGATTGGAACACTCAGCTTTTGGGAGTGCCCTGTGGTTCCACTGCACTACTGCTCACCATTTCTGGAGACTGGCGTCCGTCTCAGTCAGTCAGTGTCTGACTCTTTGTGACCCCATGGACTGCAGCACACCAGGCTTCCCAGTCCATCACCAACTCCCAGAGCTTACACAAACTCATGTCCATCGAGTCGGTGATACCATCCAACCATCTCATCCTCTGTTTTCCCCTTCTCCTCCCGCCTTCAGTCTTTCCCAGTATCAGGGTCTTTTCCAGTGAGTCAGTTCTTCACATCAGGTGGCCAAAGTATTGGAGCTTCAGCTTCACCGTCAGTCCTTCCATTGAATATTCAGGACTGTTTTCATTCAGGACTGACTGGTTGGGTCTTCTTGCAGTCCAAGGGACCCTCAAGGGTTTCTCCAACACCACAGTTCAAAAGCATCAATTCTTTGGCACTCAGCTTTCTTTATAGTCCAACTCTCATATCCATACATGACTACTTGAAAAACCATAGCTTTGACTAGATGGACCTTTGTTGCAAAGTAATGTCTGTGCTTTTTAATATGCTGTCTAGGTTGGTCGTGGCTTTTCTTCCAAGGAGCATGCATCTTTTAATTTCAAGACTGCAGTCACCATCTGCAGTGATTTTGGAGCCCAAGAAAATAAAGTGTCTCACTGTTTCCACTGTTTCCCCATCTATTTGTCATGAAGTGATGGGACTGGATGCCATGATCTTAGTTTTCTAAATGTTGAATTTTAAGTCAACTTTTTCACTCTCCTCTTTAACTTTCATCAAGAGGCTCTTTAGTTTTTCTTTGCTTTCCACAATAAAGGTGATATCATCTGCATATCTGGGGTTATTGATATATCTCCTGGCGATCCTGATTCCAAAATGTACTTTATCCAGCCTGGCATTTCGCTTGATGTACTCTGCATATAAGTTAAATAAGCACGGTGACAATATACAGCCTTGATTTACTTCTTGCCCGACTTGGAACCATCTGTTGTTCCATGTCCAATTCTAACTGTTGCTTCTTGACCTGATACAGATTTCTCAGGAGGCATGTGAGGTGGTCTAGTATTCCCGTGTCTCTCAGAATTTTCCAGTTGGTTGTGATCCACACAGGCAAAGGCTTTGGCGTAGTCAATAAAGCAGAAGTAGATGTTTTTCTGGAACTCTCTTGCTTTCTCGTTGGCCCAGCGGATGTTGGCAATTTGATCTCTGGTTTCTCTGCCTTTTCTAAAACCAGCTTGAACATTTGGAAGCTCATGTACTGTTGAAGTCTGTCTTGGAGAAGTCTGAGCATTATTTTGCTAGCGTGTGAGATGAGTGCAATTGTGTGGTCATTTGAACATTCTTTGGCATTGCCTTTCTTCGGGATTGGAATGAAAACTGACCTTTTCCAGTCCTGTGGCCACTGCTGAGTTTTCCAGATTTGCTGGCATGTTGAGTGCAGCACTTTCACAGCATCATCTTTTAGGATTTGAAATAGCTCAACTGGAATTCCATCACCTCCTCTAGCTTTGTTCATAGTGATGTTTCCAAGGCCCACTTGACTTCACATTCCAGGATGTCTGGCTCTAGGTGAGTGATCACACCATCGTGGTTATCTGGGTCATGAAGGTCTTTTTTGTACAGTTCTTCTGTGTATTCTTGCCACCTCTTCTTAATACCTTCTGCTTCTGTTAGGTCCATACCTTCTGTCCTTTATTGTGCCCATCTTTGCATGAAATGTTCCTTTGGTATGTCTAATTTTCTTGAAGAGATCTCTAGTCTTTCCCATTCTATAGTTTTCCTCTATTTCTTTGTATTGATCACTGAGGAAGGCTTTCTTATCTCTCCTTGCTATTCTTTGGAACTCTGCATTCAGATGGGCATATCTTTCTTTTTCTCCTTTGCCTTTAGCTGCTCTTCTTTTCTCAGCTATTTGTAAGGCCTCCTCAGACAACCATTTTGCATTTTTGCATTTCTGTTCCTTGGTGATAGTTTTGATCACTGCCTTCTGCACAGTCATGAACCTTGGTCCATAGTTCTTCAGGCACTCTGTCTATCAGATCTAATCCCTTGAATTTATTTGTCACTTCCACTTTATAATCGTAAGGGATTTGATTTAGGTTATACCTGAATGGCCTAGTGGTTTTCCCTACTTTCTTTAATCTAAGTCTGAATTTTGTAATAAGGAGTTCATAATTTGAGCCACAGTCAGCTCAAATGTTTCTGCTGACTGTATAGAGCTTCTCCATCTTTGGCTGTAAAGAATAGAATCAGTCTGATTTCGGTATTGACCATCTGGTGATGTCCATGTGTAGAATCTTCTCTTGTGTTGTTGGAAGAGGGTGTTTGCTATGATCAGTGTATTCTCTTGGCAAAACTGTGTTAGCCTTTGACCTGATTTGTTTTATACTCCAAGGTCAAATTTGCCTGTTACTTCAGGTATCTCTTGACTTCGTACCTTTGCGTTCTAGTCCCCTATAGTGAAAAGGACATCTTTTTTGGGCGTTAGTTCTAGAAGGTCTTAACCATTCAACTTCAGCTTCTTCAGCATTACCGGTGGGGGCATAGACTTGAATTACTGTGATGTTGAATGGTTTGCGTTGGAAATGAACAGAGATCATTCTGTCATTTTTGAGACTGCATCCAAGTACTGCATTTCGTTTACTAAGTTGTTTACTGTGATGGCTACTCCATTTCTTCTAAGGGATTCTTGCCTACAGTAGTAGATATAATGGTCATCTGTGTTAAAATCACCCATTCCAGACCATTTTAATTCACTGATTCCTAAAATGTCAATGTTTACTCTTGCCATCTCCAGGTTTGATCACTTCCAATTTGCTTTTGATTCATGAACTTAACATTCCAGGTGCCTATGCAGTATTGCTCTTTACAATATTGGACTTTGCTTCTGTCACCAGTCACATTCACAAGAGGGTGTTGTTTTTGCTTTGGCTCCGTCTCTTCATTCCTTCTGTAGTTATTTCTCCATTGATCTCCTGTAGCACATTGAGCACCTACCGACCTGGGGAGTTCATCTTTCAGTGTCCTATCTTTTTGCCTTCTCATACTGTTCATGAGGTTCTCAAGGCAAGAATACTGAAGTGGTTTGCCATTCCCTTCTCCTGTGGACCATGTTTTGTCAGAATTCTCCACCATGAATCTGTCTATCCCTCCACTAATCACTGTGAGAAAAAAACTGATCACCACTTCTTTCTACTTAGCCACTTGGCTGAGAGTCCTTTCTAGGAGTAGGATTTCTTAAAAGCTTAGCCACTGTAATTGTGAGCACTAAGACAGTCTGTTTATAACTGATGACAAGATTTTGTCAGATAAGTAAGCTACAAAAATTAAGTACTCTGTGAGCAATGCTGATTTTTTTATGGTAATATATTCCCAGCCGGAAGTTGAGACTCAGATAAAGAACATAGGAACGCAGCAGTGAACCCTTTCTCTCCACAGCTGTGGCCCCATGACTGCTGCAGACTATCTTAGGAAAGAGAACAGCTGCTTAAATTTTGATTGTCTCTTAAATTATATGAATACAAACAGTAATGTGGATCCCTCATTTTGCCCCTATTTCTCTGTTGTCAGGAAAAGTGAATCTTGTTATGCATGGTGTTGCTATATAAAACGATAAAAACTTTTAATGTAAATTACTAAATAGAAATAAAAACCAAACCTAAATGTAAAAGCCAAACCTTTAAAAGTAATCATAGTTAGTAATCTGTTATTGGGAATCCCTTTTAAGATTATCTGGGAGTTTTTTTTTCCCTACTCATTTTAGAAAATAGAAAACTGATGATGTAAATTGATCAAGGTCATAACTAAAATTAGAGCTCTGTTCCTTCCCTTCTAATCCAGCAGTCTTTCTCTTATACTGTTTTCATATATCAAAATTTTGTACTGATATGAATGTTGATTGATACTTTCATTCATTAAAATGAATACTGTGAAAGTGCAGTAATGAAAGCATGTCAGAACTTCGCTCATTGATCAGTATTGTGACTTCTTTGCTGAATTGGATAACAGTTTTCTAATGCTGGAAAAATGATTCCTTAATTTTTTTGTGCTATTTTCAGTGTAGTGACTCCAACACACACACTTTCAAGTTTGATTCCTTTATTAACTTTATCTCCATCAATATCTTAACCAGAAATTGACACAGTTTTTCTGTAAAGATCCAGAGAGTAAATATTTTAGGCTTTATAAGTCCTTTATAGTCTCTGTCACATACTCTTTGTTTCTTTTATAATCCTTTAAAAATGTAACAAGCCCTGATTTATGGCATTTATTAATTTCCAAGGTATAAGTATTCCAGTCATGGCTTATTTCAGCCTTCCAGAATGATATCATATTGCACATGGAATTGGGGAGCGATGTACCATAACACACCCTTACATAATATTTCCACTGTACAGATAAAGTGAAAATGTTAATCGTTCAGTTGTGTCTGACTCTTTGCAACCAGTGGACTGTAGCCTCCCAGGCTCCTCTGTCCATGAAATTCTCCAGGTAAGAATACTGGAGTGGGTTGCCATTTACTACACCAGGGGATCTTCCTGACCTACGGATTGAACCTGGGTCTCCTGCATTGCAGGCAGATTCTTTACCATTTGAGCCATCAGGGAAGC